TACTTTTGTGACCTGGAAATTGCTGATAAGAAGTAGTATCGAAAATACACCTCCATTGCTAAAGTTTTACCTTCATTCATACCTAGAAATGGAAGTTGATGCTAAAAACAAACAAGTAAAAAAAAGGTAGTAATGCAGAATCAATGAAATGCTCTATTTAATCTTTTATGGTTTGTAAAGCTTCACTCATAAGAAATAATGGTTATGATCACAGGTTAACTAGTTAAGTCAAATCTAGTCAAAACATGTCAAAACTAGTCTGTCAAAATGGGACAAAACAGGCAGATAAAAATATACTATATGGTTTGTATAAAATGTAATTTAAAAGATGCCTTTTTTTGTTCTTAATAGGATGATTGTAAAGCCTTGGGAAGTTAGCGATTCAATTTGAACATCATATCTCTGCCAAATTATGATAGACAGGAAACAATATGCAATGAGACACAAACACAGCACTTAAAATCTCCTGAGTACCATTCAAACCACCTTGTCTAACAATATTTGTGCTAAAAGCTTTTTTAACCCCCAATAAAAAAAATAAATTAAAAAAGTGAAAGAAGGGGCTAATGTGAGACATTTATCTCTGTCATCCCGAGGCGTGATCGATAGCTTTAGCACCTCAGTCTACACAAGTGAATCAACACATTGAGGACTATTCTGTTCTCTTATATCTAATTGCTGCCTCTTCAACAACTGTTCTCATCCTCTTCAATCCATTAACTGCTAGACAAAAGCACTTCTGAGAAGTCGTAATGTGAGTTAGGAAAAGTCAAAGCATCTCCCCCCATTAAGGCTCCACACATCGATACTTGTCTGTCCTGGACTGCCATCGATTAGCCACAGATCTATAGCTTGCTTTCTTTATGATTTTATGCAGGCAGGACAGTAACAGGACTAATAAATGCCCAATAGATGTGCAGTTGGCCATTAACTTTTAACTGATGCATTAGACTGGACAAGATGCTCCACATTTCAAGGTTGTTTAAGGTTGCTTTTTGCTTCTGAATTATGCATGCAGAAGCAAGTACTTCATGCGGTTTAGACATCCCCTATTGTTATAATAAAATGAGTGCCTGTCTGATTGTTTGTCTGCTCATGTCCTGAAATATGCATTTCGTATTTATGGATAAAAGAATTGCTGCAAACATACAGAGCGTGAGCTGGTTTCAATCATGCGTTTTAGTTGTGTGATATATTTTTTCTCCAAATGATTTTGTAGATGGAGAATTGCTATTGATTCAAGAAGCATGGCAATTGGATGGCGAATGGACGCCACAGGCCTTGTTGGTTAGTATGAAGGCATTGATTTTATTCCACTTACATGCCGTGTAGTGCGCCCGATCAAATCAGTCCCGGAGACGGTGCTGTTTGTAAGCTACGTGGTTCATGTGTGTGAGAATGTGTTATTGTTTGAAGGAGGGTGTGCTCGATTTTTCACACTAACTCGTTGCTTATCCTTGATCTTCTACACCTGGGGGTATGCCGATGAGTTTCAATTGAAAGGCTGAACTGCAGCTCTATGCAGCAGTTCAACTGAATTTCAGAGCTCAAGCATTCTGCTTAAAGTATTCTTCAAGTTTCGTTATATATTTTGCACAGAGTAACATAAACAGGCGGTGTTTTTATATTGAGGACATTAGTTTCTCTGTTGTTATCTGTATTTTTCACATTTATGAACAGGAAAATATAAAAATTCAGATAATTTAAATTATAATTGGTGTTAGTGTGTGTGTAAATGGTTGCTTGTCTTGTGTGTCTCGCGTTGCCCTGTGATGTACTGGCGACCTGTCCAGGGGATAGGCACCAGCACCCCTCACAATCCCCCCTTGGCATAAAGCGTGAAAAAATGGATGGATGGATAAATTGTTTTGAAAATTGGTTGCATTTTTTTTTTTCACTAAAGTCAAAAATACTTAGTCATACCATACATAAGCATTGACACCACAGAGGATAGCCTAAGGCAGAATTAAAAGGGCAGAGTAGGAAGTAAATATTATTTTTCTTTCTCGCAAGACTACATAAGTCCAGATTAAATCATATGCTTACTCATTTTGGACCACAAAAGCAATAAGAGCTTCTTACCTTTTATTTTTGAATCTTGTATTGATTGTATTGATTTTCTTTACTGCTTCTCGTGAAAAATCCAGTTCCTTATTCCTGGACGGACCCAAAATGGTATATTTAAAACATTTTTCAAACATGATCAGCATTCTACTCGATTGTGTCACAGGTTTTTCCTTACTTTGGAGACATTAAGGGTTCATTTAAATTGTACCGCAATGTTTGAAACCAATTTGTCAGTCAATTTTTAGATTATCCGATAAAGGTTAAATTAAATAAATGCTGATTTTCAACTCCTCTTTTTGAGAGGCACAGATGAACTGGCACAAGATGATAACCACACAATCAGAAAAAGCAATACACAGAACAATTAGCAGCATGAGCTCAACCGTATATTGAAACTGAATAAGCAAAACCATGTGTGAAACAGTGGCTACGCAGTTTAATTGGCCCGTTAAGCACATACAGCATGAGGTCGTACTTGTTTGACGGGGAAATGATGAATTACCTTGGGGCCTGACTCCCAAACATCTTTTTTTAATGACCTTGTATTTTTACAGATCAAGTTGTAGGCGGCGTTAGTAGGCTACCAGAGGCTAGATTTATTTCTTCTAGCTTTCTGCTGAAATTAGATAAATAAATACCCAAGGAATGTTTACCATGGAGCAATTAGAAAGGTAAAGCTTCACTGCTGGCCTGGTTGGTTGGTGAATATTAAGGAGATAGACTGTGTCCCTTCATGACCTTTTTTTCTTTATTCCCCCCTTTTGTTGCCACCACTTGTTCTTTCGCTTCACCGCTTATTATATTATTATATTAGGTAGTGTTGATAGAAATTCTGTACCTAGTTTTGACAGCATAGCGTATTAAATTATGAACATTAAGGTGTTTATAGGTTTGAGGTTGACTATGCATTGATTGTGCATCATTCTAAATTAGGCTGAAGCAATTAAAGGGATTAATCGTGATTAATCAATTATTGAAATATTCGTCAATTAATTTATTAATCAATTAATCATTAACTGGAGTATAGAGACTGTAAAACATGCCTGTAGGTGATGGGAAACCCACTTAGAGCAGTAATTATACCAAAATTGTAAAAAATTATATAAACATTTTACTTTTAAGAAAATAATCTGTTTCATCTGTCAATATGCTCTATTCAGAAATCCCCAAGTGGAAAAGATTTAGTTTCACCTTGTTTAATTTCGTAAAAAGTCGGAAAATCAGAAAGCAGATGAATCAATTTGCAAAATATTCGTTAGTTGCAACCCTACTCTAAATATTATCTAGTCCACTGTAAGTTACAGTGGGCAGAACTCATTTTGGAAAGGGACCGTGGTGCTTTTTATGCTTTGCTAATAATATTGTTTCAGATTTATTAAATCTAGGCTGCATTTGATCATCTCAGGGTCTTAATTAAAAAAAAGCTCAAACTGATTAAATTTGAACTGTATGCTGGAGAGTTTTCAAACCAGTTTGCCTTCAACAGTCATATAACTCTGATATTAGGGAAAATTATATGCCCAGCTGCAAAAAATACAACTCTTTTCGCATTTTTTAAATGTCTTAAAGAGATTTATGTTCAGACACATGACAATTTTTTTATTGTTTTCTGATTGTCCAGCTGGATGTAACCCTTCACTCTTGACTAGTATTCACATATCATGCAAATTGCTTGACATTCTCGATTCGTTCAACACAGTTGCATCATTCTTTTCCCCCCTCTACTTGCAGCAGGTCGATATGCACTTTAGGATAAACAAATATTCTCTAAAAGGTTGGGTGGAAAACAGAGCTGCAGTTCGTTTTTAAAAGTGACATCTCTACCACTTGCCTGGCTGCATGCTGAAAGCCAAGTAAGTGTGACTAAAATATTTAGTCATGGCGTACCTTGGCTGCCTGCATCAAGGTATGAAGCTAATAGGCTCAGACTATACAGCCTTTTTCATTTCACCTAAGCTCGACAGAATGACACTATGGAGCCAAACAAGGAAATTCAGCAGAGGAAAAAACATACATTTCTAAACATTGAGAGCCTATTGACAAAAAAACCCAACAAAATTCAACCCTTTTTGTAAATAATATGTCATTTGATTTCAGAGACTATTTGTTTGACTTTTTTTACTCCAGGGCTACAGAAATGTTCTTATTGTAACAAAATTGTACTTTTGGTTAACTTTGCAACTCACCCTCTCCTCCTTTTCTTTTCTCCCTCACCTTCCTTTTCATTGGTCCTTTTTATTATTTCTTTCCAAAATGTGCCACACAGACATGGTTTGATAATAGTCTTTTGACTCAGTGACAAGCTTGTTACAGCTTTTTGCAGAAAGAAGTTTAGTATCAGCTTGCACAATGCGCGATCTGTCCTTGTGCCCACTGCAGGACTCTGATAAGGTCTTGTTGTTGTTCCCATATATTCAATATGTTATGTTATCGGCTGAAGAGCCAGCAGCTGAATTAAGTGAAAACAGGCGTACCAGCAAAAATGTTTTGGTTGTGATAATGAATTCTATCTGTGAACTGTCCTTTTTTTCTGAGCAGATGTGAATATAATTTACAGAGATACAGAAATTAAACTGTGGAAAAAGCATTCTAGATTTTAATAGGCAATGTTGTCTTTGGGTAGAGGTAGTTGGTGGTTCTGTGAAAGTGGGTGCCTGTTTGGAACAGTGTGATTGGTTTGGGTGGTACAGATGATGTTCGACTGAGACCTGTGTTAGGTTGTGGATCAAATTCATCATTTAACTTTAAAGGAAAATGTATTAAAGCTAATAGAGCGCTTCATATGCTGTATGCACAGGGTAAGGCCAAGATTCCTTGTGTCTAGCATTCCCTGCAGCCTTTATCGTGAATTCAACTCTTTGACTTACATTAAGATGGATTTATTTAACCAAGCAGTGTTTTTATTTCTAAATCTGCTTTTTGTCTTTCATCAGATCGCACTGGGAAGCGTTCCACCATGCCCGACTCACCTGCGGATGTCAAGGCACAGTCCAGGTTGACGCCCCCTACCATGCCACCTCCACCCAGTACACAAGGGGCCCCCCGAAACAGCTCGTACACGCCCACTACATGTGAGTGATGCAGAATATTTTTATAACCTATAACCTCTAAACTTTTTCTTTCTCTAATGCAAATGAGTGTAATAAAAGGTTAAAACTCTTTGACAGGGGCTGAAGTTAAAGAACTTCAGTTATAATATAAAAAATATTGTTTAGCTCTTTCTTTCTTATTTTAGCGATTTTGTTACCGTAATCTCACCGTGCTTTTCCGAACAACATTGATTTAAAGTCATTTTGATCATCTTCCTAAAATTTACTACCGGTATATGAATTATACAACTCCAATTCCTTAATATTGACCTAAAGGATGGGATAAAGATTGATTTTATTGTATGTTAAATTTATTGTATATAAAGATTGAATTTTTTGAAAAAAATCTGGATTGTTTTCATCAATGTTGTCTATGCTCTTCTATTGTCCAGAGCTATGCCAGTCCATCAATCTTTTTCTTAGATATGAACTCAAAATCTTGCAATTCGTCATTATTTAGCATCAGAAGCTTTTATATTTTCATTGCTTAGGGTGTCAGGATCTGTAATGTTATGCAACCATAATTTCACAGCTTTTATTTAGTTCCTCTTTTAATCAAGGTCAATTCCCAGAAAAGATTATATAAAATAAAAACTGTAGTTTTTAAACTGTATTTCTTATAGTTTTTTTTTTTTGTAAAACAAAAGGGAAATGAAAATTTAAACAATAATAGTGTGAAAGAGTAGAGTTTTTTAAAGTCTTTGCTTATCCCTACCTTAACATTTAACTTAGAATATTCTATAAGATCAGGGATCATAATCCCTAATATTTTATAAGCAGCTGGATCAAAATGAAATTAATTTGACGGAGTGTTTATTTAATTTATTATATAAGCTTCAGAATACAATATACTGTATGGTGATTTTTAATTAACAAATATTATTAAAAACGTACTTTATTTCAAAACTCTGTTATCTAAATAAAGAATATTATATAGATTAATGGCACTCAGAAAATAGTTTTTTTAATTATAAGGATATTAAGGTCTGGAAGAATAAAAAAAATATAAAAAGGTACAGGGTTGTAAATATGGGTTTAGGAAAGAAATATGATTTAAACCTGTATAATGGTTTTTACTGTCAAAAAGCACTTTCAATCTGACAAATGAGCCTCATTATAATGTTTATTGAGCATGACTCTAGAATTATATTAAACCATATGTATGAGACGTGAGCAGTTGTATGACTCTCTCTCTCTCTACAGTAGATTTAGTTAAAAACAACTGCCCAGAAGGATGATCTGAAATGTAGTTTAAACAAATAAATACAAAATAGACTGTTTATGAGGACAAAATTGAAACACTGGGAAATGAAATGTGAGCATGACGTTAAAACTGTATTAAGGCCTTATTTCTTTCTGCCATCTCACCATCTAACTTTCTGGAATTTTGAAGCAATAATTTTTAATTAAGCCTTAAATAACAGCACAACTTTAAGCCAGCTCTAAGGTAAAACCACCTTTAAGCTGAACAGCGCTTTTAATTTGACCTCATTTTCAAGAACGTGTACAGATGAACTCACTCTAGCACAGAACAGCTCCACAGTTGCCCTCTCTTGAGTAGGTACCTAAAGTATGTAAATAACAAAAAGGGGTTAACAGCATCTTAAGATCTACTTATCAAGTTGAATTGAGTCTTTTTTTCCGAAAGGCAAAGAGCTCCCTCAGCTAGTTCATTAACACCCACGCTTACAAGTTGTTGGAGCTTTGCCACGATGCTCACATTGCTGGTGATGAGCAAATTACACCCTTGTATTGTCTCAGAAGTAGATACTTAACCACTTTTCCTGAAGAGTACTAGAATCAAGGAATCTGAAGCCGTGTGGCTCAGAAAGCTCTCAAGTCTGTCTTAGCTGTGCTCCTTCTAATCTGTGACAGAGGCTCTGTTTTGTTCTTTTCCAGCTTCAGACCTTTCTTGTCCCTTGAACTAAATTTATTCGTCTTTCTGTCTCTTTCTGCTGCGCACATTTGCTCCCCACAATTAACGTTGATGCTTTCGTGCAACCAGGGAGGAAAGGCCTGGCTCTCTCATTACCGATGCCAAAGGTTTTAACAAAGCTGTGCGCTTTGATTTTCATCCGCCATAATTGTCACCAGATGCAGTTTGAGTATCTCGTCTTTTTACAGTGGCGACCTTGGATGGCGGCCAGAGGGGGAGTGAGTGTATCGCTAGCCAGGAACTAATCTCATTAAAGAGAGAGCTTTATGTTGCCCTGTACGTCTTTGTACATCAACTCCCCCAACATCAACAATGACACACAACTCCCATAGCCTCACGCTACTGGGGGTCCAACTGTCCCAGCTAGTTTAGACTGGAGAGGAGAGGGAAAAGGGAGAAGGAGGTGAAATGTCTACATATGCTTTTCTTTGGGAATAAATAAAGGGATCAAAAAAGCACAAATGATTAAAAAGTGGAAACAAAACTGGAAAGTGAAGAGGGAAAAATAGATCTTAATGAATTGGAGTACCTATTATCCAGTACTGACTGGTATTCACACTAAAAAGTGCCTTAAGCACAGTTTTATTCATGGAATCAAATAAGTTATTTCAAAGACTAATTTCAAAAAATGTATTTATTAGAACTGTTAAAAATAACTTTATGTCCCTTTTTTAATGTAGTGACGAATGGCAGTAGTCACTCCCCAACAGCGCTCAACGGTGCGCCATCTCCTCCTAATGGCTACAGCAACGGCCCCAGCTCGTCCTCCTCATCTTCGCTTGCGAACCAGCAGCTGCCACCGGCTTGTGGGGCCCGGCAGCTCAGCAAGCTCAAGCGTTTCCTCACCACTCTTCAGCAGTTTGGGAACGACATCTCACCAGAAATTGGGGAGCGAGTCCGCACACTAGTACTGGGACTAGTGGTAAGAAGCTTCCTGATATGTAAACAGTCGAAATTTTAGAAGACTTCCAGAATAACTGAATTTGGAGAACAGTAATGACATGTTTTGATTATCTCAAAGAACAAAGTATATAAAGATGTGCTACTCTTCATAAGTCAGGACTAGCTTTAATTACAGATGTAAAGCAATCTAGAAATGTCTTCTGTGGTTTTTTTTTTGACGGTTGTAAAGCAGCAATATAAATTAACTGTTACATATTTTTACTTCAACCTTATTTGAACTTCTCTCATATTAAAGATCTGGGGATCACTTACTTCTCCTATTCAATACATTACATGACAAATCTATTTTAATACACATTTTTTGTTTAATGTTCTAGTTGGTCTGATTTCATACATGACTGGTGTGGCATAGCTTCCATATTCAGTTCAGTGAAAAAAGTGAATATAGACTTTCTATACAGTTATTTGAAAGTATTTTTGATGGATTATTAAATAATGATGGTTCCTTTTTCTTGATATACAATGAATTGGTAAATTCAACATTTAAAGTGGCAAATGAGGTAAAAAAAAATCACCTTTATTAAGCTGCTTATATAACAGTGTGTAAATTCAGTGAAAAGCTTGGTACAGTTGAATCTACTTAGCAAGAAAACAGTGTTCCAGCTAACTAGACCCCCAGTGTTGCACAAATAAAGCCCCCAAACATAAAAACACTTTCATCCAAATGAGATGAAATAAAAACAGATGTGTTTTGTAGCTTAGCTGACATGGATATATCAAGGCTGCGATCAGAGAAGATTTGAGCTTAATGAGCGGGGGGGATACAGAAATAGTGATTGAATGTTGTGCAAAAAAGAGGAGGAGGCAGAGGAGATAGGGTGGTGAGGGGGGGTATTTTCTTAATTAGCCACACAGAGTATAACCTGTTTTTGGCTTTTCTGTTTATTTTTCTCAACGTCTCCATATGCACATGCCTCTCCTGTGTCCTTTTGGCTGGTACACCTCCCTGCCGTATCTCTCTGTTTTCCCCCTGTTTTATCTCTCCTATCACCATCTCCGTGTCCCTCCTCCTGCCTTATTGAAAAGAGTGACACTGTTAATTAGCCGGTTGCGTGCAGGGAAGAGGGAAAGACGGAGGCTCAGGAGGTTTCACTAGCTGTCAAGAACAGCCCCGACGCAATCTGGGCAAACAGATGTAAGGCTTAATGTAACAAAACTCAGGTCTGGGAAATAATTCAGAGTGTGAAGAGACAAAAATAATGGCGTCTGCTTTTTTTTTTTTTCCTACATTTTCTGTCTCACTTGATTCTTCTTTTCTCTCACTGGTTTGGATGTTATTTTTCACTCTCAAGCGTGCATGTTCAGTCCCTCTGTTTACTTCTGTTTTTGATGCTGAAATGGAAAGTACTGTCATCAGTCATTAACTTGGAAACAATAGAAGATAGATTTAAGTCTTTTGAAGATGTCGATTTGGAAGGGATTACATGAGGGCTCATGTAACAGCACAATAACAATACAGGTATAAACACATAAAGGGATATTTTTGCAACAATAAACAAAACAAAAACAATAAGCTGAAGCAAGAAAAAGAAATTAGCATTTGTGATGAAACCGAAGGACAGGCTTAATGAAGTAAGCTTAGTTTCACTGCAAGCTTCTCTTTTGTTTTTTCAGACATACTCCGTCTGCTCTGAAGTAGGACCCTGCAGGGGCTCTATTCAGTCTTGCAATATAAAAACTAAGTACAATAACTTTAAACTTAAAAAAGAAAGCAGAACGGCAGCAAATAATACTGTTTTTTACCGACTGAGAGACTAACTGAAAACATTTAACTCAAAAGTCTCTAGGACTCATTAAATGTTTTCATGACATTTTACAGAACATGAAAGCCAGACAAAACCTGGGAGGTGAAACCAAATGTTAAACATTTCATAAAAAATTTGGAAATTATGAACTCATATTGGCTTAATGGATGGATGGATGGATGGATGGATGGATGGATGGATGGATGGATGGATGGATGGATGGATGGATGGATGGATGGATGGATGGATGGATGGATGGATGGATGGATGGATGGATGGATGGATGGATGGATGGATGGATGGATGGATGGAAAAATAAATTTTTTTTACAATTAATTAGGACAAGAAATTGAATTGAATGCGAGGGTTTTTGTGTAGAAGAGAAACATATGGATTTTTTTTGTTTGTTTATTGTTGTTTTGCAAACAAAAGTACACAAAGGTTTATTCAGAAAGTGTTCATATATTTCCTAAAGAAATAAGAAAGAAAACATCACTAGTAAAGAGCTTTTTAGCATAAAAAAAAATTCCAGATCACTTTCTTTACTGTTATGTTTTCAATGCAGGCATGTCTGTACTTATTTATGTCACTGTTTAGTTAATTTTTGTAAAATACCATTATTAGTATTGGTCATACATAACATCTCTAAAGACCATCCATAAGCTGATGGACCTTTGTTAGCAACTCTTTAAAGTAGCCTCCTAATCACATCGTTAGGAGTTTATTTGAGGTTTTAAACCTGTTGTATGTTATGGGACACTACTAGCAGGATAAATAGTTGTTTTTTTATTGATTTTATAACAGAACATGTGGTATGGTAAGGGCATTTTGCTAGTATTAGGAGTTAAGCTGTTATTTTACAGTAGATGAGAGGTGAAGTCGGAGGAGTTTGTGTGCACTGGAAAATAAAAATTATATGTGTCCCAGTGTGATCTAGAGGTCTGTCAAAAAACGAAAACAATACCGGTATAACTTGTCAGTTAAAATCTTTACAATCATATTTTTTGTAAATTCTTCATGCTAATCTCCATTGTCCTCCAATGGTAAAGCTGGGCACTTTCCACTTATTTTATTTAATATGTAGTACATGTATTATTTTGACAGGCTGATGATAAAATAAAATATTAATGTAAAATCAACATGTAAATAGATAAAGTTCAGCAATGCATTAAAATGTTGTGATTACAGATATAGTGTAGTCTACCAACAAAATGAATCAGTGCACAGGATGATATAAACAGACTAAGAGTTTTAAGAAAGATAAAAAAAACACACTTTTAAAATTTCTCCCGTTTATATATCTAAAAACATATATAAAGTTCTTGTGTCTTTGTTTTGTGTGCCTCTGTTCACTGTGGTCCGCCACATTTGCTTCCTATTAGAAAAACCAAAACACTCACTTCAGCCCAGGATACAGCTTAGCCTCCAATAAGTAATATTATCACCTAATGCCTTCCACATGGAGTCATGTGTTTTCTCTTTGTTTCTCTGTTCTCCTCCCACAGAATTCCACGCTAACCATCGAGGAATTCCACTCCAAGCTCCAAGAAGCCACCAACTTCCCCCTGCGACCTTTTGTCGTACCCTTTCTGAAGGTAGGTATTCAAATATGCAATCACTACAAAGGGGCTGCTTTCCTGTATGTCCCACAGACCAGAATCTGGAAAGCATTTAGGCATCTGAGATCCAGATGGGCCCACTTAAGTTTAGATATTCATTCTCATTTTATACCTATATGTTATCCTTTATTTTTCAGCAGATTTATTCCCTTCTTTTTTGGATCTCTTGGTTTTTCTTTTGTTTTAGACAAATCGTCTTTCAGGTGTCATTTTCCAGTCTTTTCCATGTCCCAGAAGCTAAATCTTCCACTTAGTCCAAATGGGGCACACACCAAAACGGATATCACACTTTTAAAGTTTCTAAGTTGTTTCAAAACAGTCTTTTTGTGCTTTGGCCCTTTGCTAGGACTAGCCATTAGATTCACCCTCTGTGACCAATTCATCTAAATTCATCCTGAAAAAAAGATCCTACTGATGTTGTAAGCTGCCGGTAATGTAAAAGATCAAATGCTCATAAACCTGCAGCATGCCCCCCATTTCTGTCCCAACTTAACACATAAAAATGAAAAGTGATGTTTTTTTTTTGTGTTTGTATCTACAAGAGGACTTGTGGTCATTTAGGTGCATTCAGTGTGATATACCTGCATATGTTGGCGGTCTGCAGTTTGCAGAGATGGAGGAAAGGCCTGTGCTAGAGGTTGTATGATTAGTTAGGATAGTCAGGCATGATAAATGTGCCTGGGGTTTACACTGAGGGTTTAAACTGTGCAGTCACAGTCCAGCTCATGTTCTGGTTTCTGTGTGGAGATGAGATCAATATCAGCTTGGTACTGATTGATGGGGAGCAGGAATAAGCGAAACATTCAATATAATGCTTGCTCGTTTCTGTCACAGTCTTTGGCACTTTTTACTCTCTTTTAAACTGAAATTTTTCTATATTTGTCGTTTTCCTCTTCACCTCTCCTTCTTTTTCGACCTCACGCTGCTGTTCTCCATCCATTCATCCATCCATCCATCTTCCCAATTCCCTTTCCTCTCCTTGCCAGATGGTGAGTGTATCACAGGGATGGCTGAGGAATCAAAGATGCAACTTTCTTCTATTTTTTTACTATCTCTCCTTCTCTATCTCTCCCCAGTCTAATTTTAGTGTCTTCCCACCGCAGGGCCTTTAATGTTAGCTACCATATGGTATCAGGGAGCAATATTCGAGGGGGGGGCGGGGTTATAGTTGTAAGAATGTACGTCAGGTTTATGGCTTATGCTTATGGTTTTTCATTACACTAATGCCATACTCCAAGTTACAGCCTCCATCTCAGATCCACTGAACCCCTTGTCCCTTTTTCTTAATGCTAAAGCCACAAATTGGTTTGGAGCCCTTACTGGAAGGAGGCTGTCATAAACCACACAATGCCTGTGACGTGATGCACTAGCTAGGTGCCTGCCATACATTCGCCACAGTGTTTCTCAGTTCTAGTGAGTTGTTATTGTGCTCTTGTAGGCAAACTTGAAGGCTGTGTCAGCACTGTAAAACAGAGGAACAAACACATTTGCTAGAGAGAATAAGCTGCAACAAGAAATATTAGAAATGGGAAAGAAAAGTTTCATAGTCTTGCAAAGGTATTTATTGTAGAACTGAAAAATGAGTGGTCGCAGCATCTTTATGTTGGAGAACTTCTCTTTAACAGGGTAGGAGGACGAGCCAGTGTTTAAGGGAAGAGCAAAATCAGGAAAATTATGGAATAAAATAACTTGCTAGAGGCTTCAGATTAAGGAGTGTTTGTTGAGGTTCACTCACCAGCAGTAAAACAACAATTTTTATACAACTAAGGAAAAAGAATGCTTCGGCCAATGCAAATATATCTGTAGAAATTGACCTAGATCTAAATATAATGTGAATTTTGGGAATTACTTAAAAAAAATTATTGTAGACTATTTCTTCCATGTTGGCCAGACTTCAACAATCTTTCTAAGACGAATGGGGGAAAAAATAATCATCTCTCAACATGCAAAACTAGCGACAACTGAAGGAGTTGCAGCTGTAATTACGGCAAAAGATAGTTTTTAAGAAAATTAACAAAAGGGGGGAAAATGAATAAGAAAACTAAACTCTTTAGCTTCAACCTCAAATTTAATCACAAATTTACAATCATATTAAATCTATAATCATATAAAATCCCTATAATGCATTCATTTTGTGTGTTTCAGGAGTATAAATAGTAGTACTGTAAGGCATTTACCTTTTATTTCCAGTTGAAAATTGCACTAAAAAGAGAATTAATTGAAGTGCATCTTAATCTGATTTTTTGAGGAACCATGCTGTCATTTTGAAATATAAATAATTGCCAACACATTTCAATATTTTCCAGCAGCATACCCCTTGAAAATAATTGAATTTCTTTTATTTGTCGGAAAACCTGAGGCAGCTTTACAGAAAGCCTTCTCAATCATATAAAAAATGATCCTGTCTCTTTACTGCTTGACTCAGTCTCCTTGTTATTGCCTCCCACATCTCACTGCCAATTAAGATGACCTCTAATTAATAAAAGATCAGTTCACCGGGGTGAAAGCCATTTATTTTAGCCTCATTTTTTATTTGAGAATAATTATGATCATAAACTATTACTCAACCGTTAACTTTGGAAGATAAAAATAATTTTGGCTCCTGGCATTTTGTTTTATTACTGCATAAAGACGATTTTTATAGATCTAAATATAAATGATTTCAAACAAATCAGGGCTGTTGCATTTCCTATCAAAGATTAGATTAAAAGCTCAGAGGAGTAGAAGTAGGTTATAAAATGAAAATCTTAACTCAAGTAAAGCTAGACATGAGACACTACATTATTAAAAAAAAAAATCTGAAAGCTTAGAATAATTTTGTTTTTAGGAAAAAACAAAGACTAACTCACCTAAGGCACGATGCACCCCGGTTAATATAGCAGCCACTCTTGTTCAGAGCCTTTCTGATGCAATGCTTTCATCTTCTTGCCTCGAAACACATGCCATCAGATGTCTTTGAAGTGGATGCTCACATACCTGCATGTCTCTGGAACTTCACAAGAGAGCACAGTCGCTCTGTTACAGCGTGTCGAAGGCAGATTTAAAAAGACGTGTTCTTAAAAATGAATGTGTCACAGAGGGTGCCGATGCGCTCGATGTCACAGAGAGGAGCGATAGATCGCTGGTATTGTAAAGCTGTGAGGGTTTGATCATCAGTGAACTTGAGGTTGTCTTCAGGTAATCTGAATCAATGGTTATTCATATGGAGATTGAATTGGCTTCATACAGCTTTCTGTTTGATTGTGTTGTTTAGCCTGCTAATAAAATGAAATATTGGAGATATAATGTAATTTTAAGAACACTCTTGAGCACTAATTTGTGTATTTTAAAGTTTTTATGTTATGAAGCTTGTGATGTGCAGGAATTCTTAAAAATGTTTTAATTCTTTACTTCTGTTTTGTCCCTTTTGTAATGAGTTCTTGATCAGTTCGGTTTTATTTTGCAAATTAGTACTTTTAAGATAACGATCAGGGACAAAATATAACAAGAAAGAGTTTATCCAAAGATAACAACCAGTTCAGCACAGAACTGGCTCTGGCAGTAGCAATGGACTAACTAAGGTAAAATCATTCCTGCTTTAAGGATATTAATTTTTTATACATGATTGTCTTGCCTGTAGGCTAACCTGCCATTGCTTCAGAGAGAGCTGTTGCACTGTGCCAGGCTTGCCAAGCAGAATCCAGCTCAATATCTGGCCCAACATGAGCAGCTACTCCTGGATACCAGCACCACATCACCGGTGGATTCCTCCGAACTCCTGCTTGACGTCAATGAAAACGGCAAGAGAAGGACTCCTGACAGGTAGGCTTATTCAAAAATGAGAACATTGCTCTGGGTTTTGTTGGGATTTTTCTACACTGACAGTGTAACTGAGAGTCCAAAGAGTGCTATTAGAAAACGATCAGGAACAATCCTTGTCTAATTTGTGAGAGTTAACTTTTTTCCGAAATTTAAAGGCTGAGTTCCTCTCTTACGTCACCAATACTGTCTCTTCATCTCTCTGTTATTTTACCTCATGTTTAAATCCCTTTGAGGCTTTCTGCATACAAATGAGCCATTACATTATTCCCCAAACACAGGCTGAGCCAACATTAGGCAATAGTCTGATGTTTAAATGTACATACAGGAAGGGCAACACTGGGTTCCTTGATGTGCTCGGTTAGATGTCTTTGCTCATCGCTGCGTTTCATAGGTGGGAGCTGTAGAGGGAAAGTCAAAGTACAGTTCTCCCTAACAAGACACTTGTACATGATGAAGAGACGGAGAAAGATGGATGAGTTCTTTACAAATGTATATTTTTAATAACTTAAATGTCATTTATTTCTTAGTAACGAGGAGAGAGTGGATACACCATACTGGGTTCAAGAGACTATATTATTCCTTGCCGATGGGGGTGGGGGGTTCGGGAGGTGCGTAGTAGGGACAACCAATTGACATTGTTCTGAGATTTATATTGTATTCTTAATTATAAATTACCTTAATTAACTGTGGGTCAATTTAAATTATTGTTCAATTCATTTTTTTATATGTCATGCCAAACTCCGTTCTCTCAAAATTACTAAGATGCATCCTATCTCCAGCACATCTAAAACGAATGAATGGCTTGTTATTATCTCTTCTCCAAACCTATTTGGTTTGGAAAAGGATTGACAGTTGACATTCAAGATTCTATTAGACCTCCTTTTAGTTTTATACGATTTAATTAACTCTCTATATAAATGCATGTATTCATAAATATGAAATGTGTGTATCCCATTTTATAATCATTTCAACTCTTGTTATTGCTTATGAAAGGGAATCAATAATTCCTTCACTTTTTCTGAAAACGATTGGGAAAAACTAGAAAAGTACTGAATCCATGAAGGTGAAGCTTTATAAAGCTGATGTCTTAGTGGTGAAACAAAGAAGTTTGTTAGAATAAACATGTAATAAAAGCCTACAGTCTCATTTGAGGTATGGCATTTATCATTCCATATTTTTTAACATTTCTCGATATGAGCTTGAATACACTTGTGTGTCATTGTGCATTTTTGCTTGGCTACAAGTACAATGCAAGCATTGTACTTTAAAATGAGGTCCAAGTGGCCAAAAAAAAAAAAAAAAAAAGAACAGGCTAGGTGAAGGGAAAATGTGCATATTATATCTGCTGAGGTCCAAAATTGCTGAATGTGTTATTAAGAATTCACCTCCCTATCCCACTTCACCCCAACCCCCTTTAACACCAGAATAGTTGGATATTTTAGTTTTTTTCTACGGTAATACCTGCATATTTGCAAGGCCGTCTGGCACACAGGGGAATGGGGCTTGGAAAAAAGGTGCGTTTGTAAATGCAAGAGGTGAAAATATGAGAGGAGTGAAAAATCAAGGCGGCATCTGTATTTAGTGAGAAAAAAAAAAAAAACAGTGTCTATGTGTGAATGTGAGTGCGTGTGACAGAGTGTATGTATCCAGTGTAAAAGTGTGAGTTCAGTGTGTGAGAGCCTGGGGAGATGGGCTGATAACACATACAGATGAGGCTCCAGCACCATTATGGCTGGCTAAGCACCTCTAGTTTCTGCTTACCTATACTCTGCCTTTGCAGAAGCCAGAATTTGAATATTGGGATTTCAGCTCACAGGGTTCATTTTTAGCAATGCTCCTTTAATGCACAGTGATCAATAGAGTCATATTAATATTGCTGTGGGATAAATTACTTAAATCTTGTTTTTGTTTTATTTATATTTATGAATATAAATATCCATCTATGTAAGTAACCATGTAAACACCCTGTGCAATAACCCTGTATATTCTTCCTATGGCACATTCTTCTACTTTGACTCTTTGCACTGATGTAATTAGTAAATTTCTCCACTGTGAGATTAATAAAGTCAATTAATCAATTTGGTTTTTCTTTCTTTAGATTTGAATTTCTTTTTGCTATGCCAATCTCTATTAATCATTCCCCTACATTTTTCTGTTTTTTTGTAGATAATTATCCATAAAAAAATATCAAAAACAGCATGTGACTTTGACTGAATTAAATAGATTTATATTTAGATAAAAGTCGTAGGTGAACTGTATTTAAATGTCAAATCATTCTGGCTTAAACATGTATATAAATGTACTCTTTATCAGATGATATTGTCCCAAAATTTAGAAAATTTCTATTTAAAAAAATCTTGCCTTAAAATCTTTTTTTTTTTTTTATTATCTTATGCAGGCCAGTTAATTATACGTCAGCCACTCCCCTTCCTTTGGTCATTTAAAATTTTTGGTCATCTTCCAGTGTGCTCTTTGGACTTCTTTTGGATTCTTTCTGCCTTTAAATCTTTTTGCTAAACTTCTGTCCAGTCTTGAGCACGGCTCTTGTGTCATATCATGTTTTAAAGTTAGAAAAAGTGACTTAGTGAAGAGTACAAGGCCTAAAACAGCTGCATGTGGCGCACAGAAAATATCTAAAAAACATGCCTATAAGATCTAGAAAAATGGAGAAAGCTCATGAAACTTCCAGACATTGACAGAAATGTGACCTACAGCAAACTTTTACCAACATCTTTGACTTGCTGGTTACTTTTTTATTAGGGTTGATTTATATGGATGTGAAACAATATTACATTTCTGTAAAAACTCAATTATTGCTTAAAGGAAATTGCATTCAGTAATGCAGGTGCAGCGCTTAACATTACTCAGTTACCATTTTGATTTACATTTTTAAACACATCGAAGCAATTCTTGATGTTTTCAGGGAACTTCCAATAAAAATATTGTTTAAAGAGCAAAAGTAACAATTCTAATTAGGCCATCAGCTTTTGAGGCTATTTGTGTTTTTTATGTTTTAAAATTTTCTAATCATCTTTTTCTTACCCTTGATGAAGTAAAAATGAGGAGACATTAATCTGGACATAAGAGCAGGTGAAACAAAAAAAAAGTCAGTTTCTTACTGTTCAAGATTCTGGATGAACGGATGACGCTTTGATTTAGTATTTTATCCAATGATACAGTTAACAGATTATCTGCTAGTAGCAAAAGTGAACGAATAGAAGTTTCGAAGCACAAATCCCACTGTTGGCACAAGCTTTTGGCTGCAGATATAACAAGGATTACTGTTACAACAAGATACCGACCTGGACAAGATCGTCATGTAAGGTGGACGTTGTACCCATGCCTCTTTAAGGCTTTTAATCTAAGTATCCTTAGAAATCTTTGGAAACAGAACATGCAGCTGGTAGAGAAATATTACAGAGGCTCAAAGGCTTTTTGTGTTTTTTCCGGAAGAACAAGTGAAAATCCCCAAAACGAGAACCGAGGGACTTTTAGCTGATAGAAAAAAGCTGTGATTCTTGCCAAATGCAGTGTGGCTGCATACTGTCCATTGAGAGAGCTGCATATTATCTTATTTTTAAACATTATAAAGATAGTTACAAGAAAATACCTTAAATAAAATATCAATGAGTTGTATATGTCTATGCAAATTCAATGAATCTTTTTACAATTTTACTAAATTGTAAAATCATCAAAATAAGTGGTCCGCCTAATCATTCTGATAATATGTTTACTAAAGGCCGTCCTGCATGCACGTCCCCATTTTCACATACCGGTGGTGAGTCTAACAAAGTGGAAAAATTGCAAATCTTCTTTTGGAAAGTAAGCTTGTGTGAGCGTTGCAAACTGCATTTTTTTTCAACAGAGCGTGCATGAGAAGAAATGGCCTCATGAATGCTCCTGCACACGTTTAATAGGCGTTCCCTCTCGGGAGCGGGTACACGGTTGTTCATGTGCATTTTTTTTAAAGCGGAGAGGGCGGGTCTTTCAAAAACTTGTGAAAACCCTCCACTTCAATTGTTTTGAACATCTGAACATGTAGAAGGGCACCACATCAAATGGTAATAGATGTTTTACAAAAAGATGGTTAAAAAATAAATTACAGAGGTTTAAAACTTTATTTTATTTATAACTTTTTGCTACCATGTCCAAAGTGTCCCGAAACAATGGTGTAGTGCTGTGATGGCAGGGAAACAGCACTATATTTTGCAGTTAGATGGTCTCTCAAGTTTTTCTCAAGGACAAATGATTAGCAGGGGAGGATCAAATATGTATTTAGAAGTTGGAGGGAGAAAAAAAATTGGGAAAGCTATGCAATCATGAGTCTAAATAACTTCCAATATTTACAAATCCGATGATAAAGCCTTAAAAAGCATCGAAACACATTTGCTGCAGAGGTTTCTGCCTTACTTGTATCTGCTAATGTTTCACTATTAGATTAAAAGGAGATTGAATAAACATTCAATATAGTTCCAAGTAAAGTACACTTTATATGCACATTTTGCTCTTCCTGTATTTTTATTTTTTAAATCTCACTAATTCAGAAGACACTGATGCAGTTAATATATAAGAATCCTGCTCTTACTGATAAAAAAAAAATTGATTAGATTTGTATTTTCTCATCAGCAGTTAGGGATGGTAAACTATAAAATATTAGACTCTAGTGACCAGCCCATTTGTCTTGGCGTTTCAAGCCAAAATGTCTCATTTGCAGTTATAAGCAAGAATGTGCCTGCTTGCATTAGCAAGCTGTGCATCCTTGTAACTGGGTGTGCATGTATCTGCTCTGGTGTTTGTAAGTTACCAACGTTGTTGCAGCAAATAAGCTGGGGAGATGCGTGTGGGAGGAGGTGGATGGATGAGTCGAGGGAGACAGAGAGATGGACGGATGGAAGAAAAGAGCATATGGAGAGCTGTGGATGAGCATTAGGAGCCCATAAAAACAGCTCATTAAGAAGTTCAATCTGTTCATCGGAGAGAGGGATGGAAGGGAAGAGAAGCGAGACAGAGGGGGAGAGAGGAAACCAGGGGACCGTTGATAGCAGGGGAGGTTGGCAGGTTTTAACTGTGAACTGACAAAGCTGAGAACGCACACAACAACATACTGCAGGCACATATGTGCAGGCATATATACACACACAAACACACCTGGTCACATTAATCTTCTGAAGCAGGCAAACAAAAATCCACCTGATCCCTTTGAAACTACTTGTGTGAGTAGGCATGTGTAACTTTTTTTTTTGTGAGCAGGGTTTAATTGTTTGTGTATAAATTGACTTGTTTTCAGGATATAATCCCTTGATAAATCCCGGAAACGCAACCTTTCAAAGCAATTACTTCATCTGGTGGGGGTCTGTTATTCTGGAGCCACAGCTCATGTCTCTGCATCCATTGGTAGACTACTTTATAGAAGAAATTTAGCAAACAGGTGTTGCTCCTTATATTTTTACAAATGAGGTTGGATATTAAAATCATCTGTTTGTTTATCATCATGTCTCTTCTTGACGAGAGGTTAAAGACAAATTGAATTTTATGTTTTGTTTTTTAAAATAAAAATGTTTTTGTGTTTGTGTTCAGAACCAAAGAGAACGGCTTCGAGCGAGATGGAGCCATCCATCCAGATGTCCACCCAAGCAAACGGCCTTGCACCATGAGCCCCGCCCAGCGTTTCAGTCCGTCCAATGGGCTCTCCTACCAGCCCAATGGGCTGCCCCACCCAGGTCCCCTCCCTCCGCAGCACTACAGGCTGGATGACATGGCCATCGCCCATCATTACCGTGACACATACAGACACCCAGCCTCCAATCACAGGGAAATCCGAGAGCGAGCCAGGCCTATTGGTAGGGATATTATTTTTACCAAAATATTTCATTTCAAGTCACCTCCCACCGGAAACAAAGTATAGAGAGTGACATGTAATACATTTCCACCTATCATAGGGGGATTCAAACATTGTTTACAAACCTGCATAATGGAGAGTTTATCATGTTGTGCAACAGTTTTTCTCCTTTCAGTACAGGGGGTGAAAGAAATGATTATCAGGACAGTGATAATCATTCAGCAGCAATGCCTTGAGATCACTTGAAGGAGATCAATGCTATCTATTGCTAATGTTTTGTTAATATATTTTTGTTTTTAGTTAGAACTGAATTGTGTAGTAGTTGTTACTATTCGTCGCTATTTGCTAAGCTCAAGTGGCAACAAGTCACCTGACTTGCACACAGGAGGCCCCGATTCAGACCCCTGCTGGGGGGATGAGCTGCCTGTGTGGGTCCTTAGGCAAGATCCTTCACGCTAATGTCTACCTCATTGTAACATTGTGTCAACTTTGTAAGTCGTTTTGGATAAAGCATCTACTAAATGCGTAAACATAAAAAAACAAACATGTTATTAATGCGTCATTTTTATCGTGTAAATCGAGGAAGAAAAATCAATAGCGGCTCTTTGAATCAGCCCAGGAATATCGGCTGCAGATATTTGGGATTGGTCAGCCTACTAAAATCTCTAAGGGTCAGTCTCCATTATTATTATTTTGGCATCATTTAGATTTCTCTATCAGAATCACATGCTTTACACTGCAAAAACTATCTAAAAATGAGTAAAAATGTCTTAAATTAAGTGTATCAACCCTTAATTTGAGCAGGTAAATAAGATGATTTGCCAATGGAGTGAGTATCTTTACTCCTAAAATAAGGTAATTAGATATTATGCACTTGATATAAGACAATGCAATTGTTTTTTTCTTATTTTAAATGTAAATTGTCTTGTTCCAAAGGGTCTCACTTACATCCGTAATTCAAGAAAAAATGCACTTATTTTAAGAAAAAATTACTTATTTAGATTTTATTTTTTGTAGTGTAGTTGTGTGCCTTAATATATCATTTTATGTGTAATATGACTATGCTCAGTGTTAATTTTATCTCAAATGAAAGATTTTTAATCCACTGTCTCCATGGAAAATCTAGGTTTATTTCTACTGGTCTACAAAAACTGGTGCTGCAGCCACTGATATGCCATTTGGGTGAAGTGTTTTTAAATGGGAGATATTTTACTACATATGCCAAGTTGTGATGAAGCTGTAAGGGCTCTTTTCTAAATTTAGAAAAGACATTTACCATGTCTCACCCTGTGATGGATGTTAACTGGACGAGAAGTTCAGTCATTTGCCCTCAGGGTGCAAGAGAGATATGGAGACCACAAAGAAAAGAGGGCAGAGAGGGAAAATGGATTGAGCGGGGGGACATAAAAGAGGGAGAAAAATGAAAAATACAGATAGGATATAGGACGAAAATGATAAAGTGATGTTATATCAGTCGGTCCTCCTTATCATAACCACTTTTTCTCTTTATGTTTCTATCTTTTTTACCGCAGGTATGCATGCAGGAAGCAGGCAGGAGGAGGTGATTGACCACAGACTGACAGACAGGGAATGGGCCGAGGAGTGGAAGCACCTTGACCATGTAAGAAAAGTAATAACATTTTTATTACTATTTTTTCTCTGTAAGTAACATTTGATAGTCTTTGTCATGTCCTAGAAAAATATTTATCCCACCTTGCTGCAGCTTTAGTAGCTAGATTATCTCTAAGCTACAATTTTATCATGATATAGAAGGTTACATTTCATTTCATTTAAAAGTACAAGATTTGGTTAGACATGTCTAGCAGGTATTTTGCTTTTGCTTTTAACCTTTTTAAATTTGCCTCTTCTGAGGAGTGGATACTTACTATATAGTGCATGTATTAGATTATAAAATTATTTCTAAAGCTTTGATATGTCACAATGCACTGTGCAGTACATCATTGAAACCTGCCAAAATACCAAGATATGGCTGTCCGCCAAAACTGACAGGCCCCTTGAGGTGAAGATTAATCAAGGTGGAAGCGGAGAGGTCCGTCATAATTCTGTTGGAGCTGCAGAAATCCCCTGCTCACATGGGAGGAGTCTGACAACAGGACAACTGCTGTAGTGGCTGTGCACTCCACAAATCTGACCTTCATAGGAGCGTAGCTTGTGAAAGGCCATTAATAAAAAAAGAGGCATTTGTAGTTTGCAGTTTGCTGCAAGCCATGTAGGGGGCACAGCAAATGGAAAAGATGGTGCTCTTGTTAAATGAGACAAAAAACTGAACTTTTAGTCTACATTTAAAAGGTTAAGGTTGAAAAGTACAAGTGAACCTAATCCACATAAATACTCACAGCAGAGAAATGTGGTGATGGCAGTATCATATGATGGGGTTGCTGTTTTGTTCCCCAGGAACAGGGATGCAATTAGAGGTAAAAGGAAGATAAATATAGCTAATTTCAGTAAATGTCAGAAAACGAACCTTGAAACCTGAAAGCTCTACATTCTGTTTTTTTATCATTTAAGATTCAAAATATAAGATGGCAAAATATGAAACATTTCAAAGTATTAGAAGTTTTGGAAGACACTGTTTTTCTTTAAAAGTAAAAAGCTTTAAACATGATACTATTTGTTGACACCTTGATTTCTTTACTGATGGTTTATCAGCAGGTAAATAAAGTTAATATAAATACTTCCCTTGCTAGCTGACATGAAAATAAATAATGTGTTGAAGTAGAGATGTGACCTGACATGGAATGGAAGTCAGCTTCGGAAATATTTACCTTAAATTCTCCCAATCCTTCATCATAATAATACTCCAAAAGTACCTTTGTTTCTATGTGTAAACCCAGCGCTGTGTTTTGCCTTTTCTGTTGTCTAGCTGCTGAATTGTATCATGGACATGGTGGAGAAAACAAGACGTTCTCTGACTGTGCTGCGGAGGTGCCAGGAGGCCGACCGAGAGGAGCTCAACTACTGGATAAGGCGTTACAGCGATGCAGAGGAGCTGAAGAAGGGGGCTTCTAGTGGGCAGTCAAGGCAGCAGAGCCCTGCAGCACAGGAAAACACAACATCAGGTACAAAACAGTGTGGGCTTTTAAAACTTTGAGGAATTCATATTGCATGCTTTCAGGTCAGAAACATTATGTATGATCTTAGTTTCTGCTATGGAAATATTCACAAAATGGTACACTGCTCCATGTTAAACGTATTATATTCATCAATAAAATGAAAATAACATCTTATTCCATTAAACCATAGTTATTTCTTTGCGTTTTTGTAGATGTGATACTTTCAAGGCAATGTTAAAGTAGGGAAATAATCAAGTTCTATTTAACAAAACAATTCCAAACCATCTTAGATAACCTACTTTAGTTCTCTTTGTGGTGAAGATGTGTGAAACTCCCAAAATAAATGTATTTTCTATTGCAGTGGCATAATCTCAAACACAAAAGAAACTAAAAAGCCTCACATTAAATCCTGTATTATGACATATGAATGTGGCATTTTAGAAGCAAAAAAGTGGCTGAGCAAAAACTGAAACTCACCTTGTTTATGCATAGTGTGCATGATGATAAGGTGTTATATATTTATATCTTTACCAAACTACAGATTAAATTCTTTGGTTTCTGTGATAACAAATGATAATAGATGGCAAACATTTTTCACATTATGGTTGGCTGAACAATCTTTTTACAATATGTAATTTTAATAAACCTACTGATCTGGTGTGTTTTCTCTGCAGACATTCCCAGAGAGCTGTTGCACCGGCCTGTTTCGGGTTACGTCCCTGAAGAGATCTGGAAAAAAGCTGGTGAGCTTTTATCCTGCATCAACACTCCCGATTATCTCTTCACAGTTTACAAGACCTGTTGCTCTGAACAATATCAAGGCTTTTTTTTAGGGTTTTCTTTACACTTTGATGGCTCGTGGATATATGTTGCTAAAATGTGTTGTTTTAAATGTCTACATAGTTCTGGAAATACCATAAAAGAAATGTTGTGTACCCTTTGGGTGTCAGTTTAGCAAAACTCTGGAGGGGATTTCTGATATGTGCATTATGACCATTACTGTACATTCTTTGCATTTGTTATTTAACCATTTTTTTACACAATGTTTTTTAAATGAATCTAGCACCCATGGGTAATACTCAACCAATTTTTCACAGAGAATGTGTCTATAGAGATGCTGGCATTTCCATATATTGCATCTTACCTTTTTATCAAGAGCTTGCAATGTCTAACTTTAGTACTTTTAGGGCCGGATTTATCAAGATCCAATTTTGCGTGCAGTAATTTGCGCTCGCAAATTGGAATTTTGCGCGAGGGGCTGAACCATGGTTTGCGGGTGATTTAACAAGAGCGATTTGGTAACTGGTGGCAGGTGCAAAACTGTTGGAGACGCCCTATTTAAATTATGGTTTTGCGCGTTTTGTGGTTTGCGGCATCGCGAGTTTGGACAGCAGAAAGCGCAAAAGGAAATTCGACCCCATGGAAATGGAGGTGTTGGTGGATGAAGCCAACAAAACAGGAGGGGGCACAGTAGATGAGTTGCCTCTGACCAGCATTGAGGAACAAGTACAGCTGACGCTCTGTGAGGAGCAAATCACTGGAATTGCAGCTCCAAAATGGCAATGCTGGATAAACGATATATTTTGATGATCGTTTCCTCGTTCATTTCAAAAATATTCACACGGAGTGAAAAAATGCGTTCTCTGCGTCTCCTTGCTTCATTTCCATGTCTCCTTCTTGCGACAATAACCGCTGCCATGTGTGCGCAATTACGCATACAGACCATTTGCACCTTCTTTTGAAACGTGTTAAATATAGAGTCAGATACCGTTAGCAAAATTGCTTTCAGGTTTGATAAATCACTTTGCGAGTGCTAAATTAATATATTTACATGTTCTCCTCCCACAAGACGCACTTTTGCGTGTAAACGCCCCATATTGCATATTCATTGCAGAAAAAGTACTAAATGGATAACAGGCGCTATTTATCACATTTTAAAGACCAAATCCTTTTAGCACGCTTTTGATAGATCAGTTTGTACATTTTTTAGCGTGCGCAATGAAATAGCTCACGTTTTTATACACGCAAACCTTTGATAGATCCGGCCCTTAGTGTACACAGCTCTCAAAACTGGAAAAACTTGTTGGAGTTTGGCTGTTTAATCAAACTTAGTATTCACTAAGGTGTTTCAGCAAACATTTCAGTATACCAAAGTTTTCCATTCTTACTTACAGCTGCAGTATTGTTGCCTTCCCTCCATCTGGAGATGGTCTGCTAATACTCATTTGAACTCTGACCCTTTTTTCAATTGGATGTTGTTGTTTTTTTTTTAGACTGTTCTATCTAAACCTAACAGCAGCAGTTTGTGAAAAACTCAGCTCAATACTGTCTGGCACCAATAACACTGATACATCCAGATTAGGATTGGGAAATTAAATACATTTGCAACATAATCACAATTTAGCAAAACACAAGTTTAAAATCATAGAGGTGCTACATTTTAGTGGCATTACATTTAACAAGAGTAAGATAAGTAAGTACATGTTTCCCTCCAGCCCATTAGATGGAGGTTATATATTTAAAGGTATTGTGGAGGATTTTCACAATTTTTTTAAAAGACCCACCCTCTCCACTTACTGTAATTGAAAATGCACATGCACAACCCTGTACCCGCTTCTGACATGGAATGCCTATTTAACACGTGCAAGAGCATGCACAAGACCATTTCTCCTCATGCACACTATGTTTAAAATGTGCTGTTTACATTACTCATACAAGCTTTGTCATGGTTTGGTTGTGGTTAGTGGACCCAACTATAGAGGCTGAGGGTCGGGGGTGAGTTCTTGCTGTTTCGTTAATGAATAAACACAGGTAACAGAGGCAGGAATCCAAAAATCCCAAAATCTAAATTAAAAATGTAAAACAAACCAGAAGCATGGAGACATCAGGGGGAAACAATCACGAGGAGCCAGGGTAAGACGAGGTGAAGCGAGGCGAGGTAAAGTGAAGTAAGATGAGAAACCAGCACTGAGGAACTGTACAAGGAGTGTATTTATGGGAGACTGAACAAAGAGAGGACTAACGATCAGATTGGGAGCAGGTGTGAACAGAGCAGCAGAGGAAAGAGCTAGGGAAAAGGAGACTAACACAAGGGGGCAACAGAGGGAAACAAATAAAAACCTTAGAACCAAAATATATCCAGAAAATATAACAAAATAGGAATTAAACCATAAAACTAGAAAATATGGAGCAAATAAAACATAACAGAATCAAGACCGTGACAAGCTTACTGTGTCCTAACGTCCGCCCTAACCCCTAAATCCCTCATCACTATATAGAGCGGGGACTATATAGTGAACTTCACAGGAAACTTTTTGCTTCCCGTTGGTCATGTAACTCTGCCTCCACCATGAGATCCCTGCACCATCTTTGTTATTAGTTGCCGCTGTCAGGTAGCGACAGCCTATGGCGACAAGGGGCCGCTGGGACAGCAAATCCCATAATGCTTTGCAAAGAGAACACTTACGTTGAAAAAGATAGCTAACATTACGAGCACGTAGGACAGCCTTACGTAAACATATCACCAGAATGATTGACAGTTAGGAAGACCACCTATTTAGATGATCCACCCGGAAATAAAAAGATTGTGACAGACACAGCGCACAAACCTCTTTTAAACAAAGGTTCAGTCCAGCAGTATTGGACATTCGACAAGTAAGCTTCTAAGGCCATGGTAAAAACTAAAACCCTGGAATGAAACATTTACATACTTGTGCTTGGTGCAAAGTAAAATCACAATGAAATTACAATACTGGGTGAAATTATTTGCAGTTTTTAGTTTTGGCATAATTCCGCCCTAATTCAGATTCCCTTTAATCCGTCTCTACCCCATTTTGGTGTTCATTTTGAATTTTAGCAGTTGTTTTCATCACATCTAGATCCCTAAATAATTCTAGGGTCCTGAATATAGAATAAACAGCTGGAGCAAAGAAATGGGCTCTAATAATCTGTTAAAATAGTATTTTCCTTATTCTAACTAAGATATGTTGTATAGATGAGCTGATCTAAATAAACCGGAAAAATTGCTCAACTTATGCATCATGAGTGCATTTACACTTACAGATATAGCTGCCCTGAACACTGGAATGTGTCCAGTCCTTCAAGAATCCACTTGGTATTCAGAGCTAGGGCTAGATTATATGTGCCTTTTAAAGTTGTCGGAGAAAAGAAATTGCCCCCTTGCTAGACCATGCATGATGTGTGTGATACTCTGAACAAGTAATATGCATTTAAATTGAATTGAGTAACACCATAGGAGCTCTGACTGCTTTCTGGTACTCTCCCTTTCCCTCTGCAGCTTTGATCGATCTTCTATCTCAGACATTTGGTGTGTAATCACGATTGAGTGCAAAGACCTTATATCTCAAGGCAACCAGAGCAATTTCCATAACTTCACTCAGCACAGTAGGTTAAAGGCAAAAGCACCCTGGTTTAAATAATTTGCTCAATCACAATGGAGAGAAAAATGTATTTGGAAAAATGCCATTTTTTCCCCCTAGGACTTGTTTTAAAGTCTACAAAAAGAGTAGTCAACCAGTTTATTACAAATAAAGCTGTTTGTATTTGTGGTCTGTATAAAAGAAATAAGGCCTGCTGTTTTCTGTCGTTTTTCTGAGGAGAATGTGATGAAAATGTAACCCAGGGAGGATTGCAAAACTTGTTTTTTTTTTTATACAATAGAAAGCAGCCGTGAATACATCTGTTTGAAACAGGCAAAATGTTTACAGTTGGTGATAAATATTCAAGCACCTTGCACGGTTTACCACCGCTTCTCCCACTTCCCCTCACCGCGTGGGCCTGTGGGATCACAATAGAAATGCATAATTTAAATGCAAATTGGCCGATTTGCATACACAATTAGTCAAGTTACAGGCATGACTGCAGCAAACACAAAAAAGCCCTCCTTTTGCTTTGACTTGATTTTGCAGTTTAATATCCACACACAAGGTCATTCTTTGCTCCAAACAAGAGTAAAATAACACAGTAAGAAAGCCTGAAAGCACATTGTTATTTTCTGGAAAAAAAAATTTCTTTCTTCTATCTTTTGTATGGATTTTTCACCTTTCTGTAAAGGATGTATGTTTAGTTTGACTCTTGGGTTATATCATTAACGCTTAAAATCAGTTTTTACCTGTGGAATAAAATCTTCTGGGTCAAATTACAGTTTTAGAGGCTTTTTTTGGTGGTGGGCGAGTGTTAATGTTGAGAATCTCTGCATCATTGGTTTTGATATTTAGCTGAGTTGGGTTAGATCAACGTAATAAAACAAATGTGTACTACAGGAAAATTTAATGAAGACTCTTTAGGCATGTAAGTCTTATATTGTTTTAGAACAATACACTGTGTCTGCTTCAGTAAACAACCGCATCTGCACTTATATTCTCTAAAGATGTATAATAAGCCTTAAAGACTATTTCAAGACTGTTTAACACTTCTACCAAGGTTTAAAATACACATTATGTCTTTAAGGTATTTTAAGGATTGAGAAGAAGAAACATTTAGTAGAATTTTACAGAAAACATAAATGATGTGACATGATCAAGAAAAACTGGGAAGTAACATGTGTGTAGAATAACATTCCTTGTTCCTAAACTCCTTCCAGAAGAGGCGGTGAATGAGGTGAAGCGTCAGGCCATGTCTGAACTGCAGAAAGCCGTGTCAGAGGCAGAGCGAAAAGCTCACGAGATGATCAGCACTGAGCGGGCAAAGATGGAGCGTACTGTAGCTGAGGCCAAACGTCAGGCAGCTGAGGACGCACTCTCCATCATCAACCAGCAGGAGGACTCCAGCGAGGTAAGATCAGGGAAACCTTTCTGAACCCAAGAGGTGTTACGATTCAGAACATAGGACTCAGTATTTAAGGCAAGACAGGCAGTGGGATTACTCAAAAGCATTTATTTAAAACACGGATCTGTGGTTCTGTAGTAGCAGCAGCTAGGGCGTCTAAGGCAGGAATATCTGGTTTCGAGTTTAGTCTATGCCCAGAGATTGAGAAAGGATCCAGTTGGTGAGCTACCAACAAGATGCGGCGGTTGCCGCCCAGAGTGTCCCAGATAATGCAGTCCCAGAGAACATGCAGGATTCCAAAGCCAGGTCAGGCAAACAGATCAGAACAAGAACAGGCAAGGCTCAAAGATTCAGGAGTCCGGAGCCAGTTCAGGCAAACCGTTCAGACAGGAACAGGCAGGTTCAATGGTTGAGAGGCAGAACAGGTCAGGATCAGGAAATCAGAAACACCAAGGAACTCCAAAAACACTCTCACCACTGGCTAGAGAGAACAAGATAATCTTGCACTGATGACTGGGAGCAAGCACCTTAAATAGAGCCAGGAGCAGATGGATCAGATGAGCAGTGATTAGAAACCAGGCAGAGTTAGACAGCTGAATGAAACAAACAATTAAGCTAGTCATCAGCTCCAAGATCATGACAAGAGGAGTTACTACCAGCTACTCTTGAGGCTTTCTATGTGAGGATGATTTAAATGGGCTTATAGATAAATGATTTTTCATGTGCTCTTTTGTGACTGTCTTGTTGGAGGATTTAGCTAAATCTGTTTTTAAAAATAATATGCCCAACTTAGACATTTTCCAATCAGAGGAAAATACAGCGAGGACACTCAAGTATCTACTGCTTTTTATTCTATCTCTCTTCCCGGTTTCAAGCGCAGTAACCGGAGTGTACAGGAGGGTGTTTCTAATTCAGCTGAGAGGAAAGAAGAGAAAACCACTCACTCATTTGCTAATGTCCACTGGAGACCTTGAGGTTTTAATCAGTTAAGTAGTCGGAAAATATGGCTCCTATCTGACATTAAATGGAGGAGTGATGCTTGTGAAAGAGAAGCGTCATAGGGGAGAACTTGTAGAGGTTGCTTATAACTTTGTCCTCTAGTTTTCTGTAGTAAAGAACAATCCTAAAAAGCTATTCTCAATATTCAATGATTTAAGATCTACCTGTGATGTGTTCTATGTAAATAAACCCATAAACATGTTCATTGGATATATTTGCACAAACCCTTTAGCTCTATTCTAAGAGTGTTCTGCTTTAACAAATTTGAAAGTTTATGTAAAGTAAAAAACAAGACCTTGTATTCAAAATGTTTGTGACATTGTTGCTCTGGCTCAGTGTTTTGTGTTGATCATATTGGAAGTTCAAACTTTCATCCCATTTTATATAATTATGATTAATTTGAAATCAACCCATTTTTTTTCTTTTGCACTAATCTCCTGCTTTTTGTTAGTATATCCCAAATAAATTCCTTTAAAAGGTTGCGGTTGCAATGTGACAAGTTTTGAACCAGTTTATGAATATTCAGACATTCTACACAGAAAAATGATCTTAAAATTTGTTTTTAAAAAATTTCAAATTAAGTGTATCAACCCTTAATTTGAGTAGGTAAATAGGATGATCTGCCAATGGAATAAGTTTAGCCTTAAACTAATACAAGTAGATTTTATACACTAGAAATAAGAGACTGCAGTTGTTTTTTTCTTATTTTAGATGTAAATTGTCTCATTCGGTAAAGTACCTTACTTACCTACTCAATTCAAGAAAAAATACACTGAATTAAAGAAAAATGAATGACTAAGATTTAAATCTTTGCAGTGTAATCGTAAACCTAGCTTTTAAAAATGACTTTTGTATTTTTCTCTTCTAAATGTCCTTCAGAGCTGCTGGAACTGTGGTCGTAAAGCCAGCGAGACGTGCAGCGGCTGTAACACAGCGCGCTACTGCGGCTCCTTCTGCCAGCATAAGGACTGGGAGAAGCACCACCATGTCTGCGGTCAGACCCTCCAGGCCCAGCAGCAGCAGCAGCAGTCCAGCCAGCCGCAAGGAGGAGTTCCAGGCTCAGAGACTCCCGCCCCCATCAGCTCTTCAGCCTGCACTCCAAGCAGCGGCACCGGGAGTCCTGCTGCGACCCCCCCTGCCGCTACTCCACGCTCGTCCACCCCCAGCACCCCATCCTCTTCTGCTCTTGACAGTACACCTCGCTAGGAAAGCTTCCCATGTGCAACAAACAGTGCTAAAACCCACAAAGAGCATGACTGTCTACATCATGACATTGTCTTTGCAAAGAAAACAACAGATAGGGACGGCAAAGCATGTGTCTGTCTTACAATGTGGTCGAAAAAGGAGGAAAAACGAGGTCAATAATCAGGTCATATTGACTTGCCATGACTTTAAAGAAACGCAAAGATATTCTTTGTGTTGAATGAACAAATTGAAAAATTACATCCTTTTATCATTACACTTCTTTGCTCTTGTGCGTTGGTTGTTGTACCTGTTGTCGTTACTGTTGTCAGTGTAGCTTCTCTTACTTTACTTTGTAAATATAAAAAGACTGATCTGAGGAGTCAAGACCTCACCTTTATAAATGTTTTATTTTTCGTCTCTCATTTAAGCTTTATTTCCTCTCTGTTCCAGACATTGCACCTAAGTTAACTTTTCATACAAAGCCGAATGACTGAAGTGGTCAATATTCACTGCAAATGAGGAGATTAGATTTTAATACAGGCTGATGAATAAATAAGGGACAGACTGAACCTCTGGCTTGCAGACCCAGCCGCCAAGAAGCAGGCAGATGTGCAGCAGATTGCTAGCCGAGCCAGCTGTTCAGCCGGCATTATTTCCCTCTCACTTGTCGTAATATCCAGGTCAGTGGGCTGTGAAATCCAAATCCAAGTTCCCCAAAGGATGGAAAAGGAAGACTTCTTGGACAGAATGCAAAACAACTTTGCCCACAGCGCACAAACGCACGCAGGATGCACTGAGAAACATTTCACGTGCATGCTCGCCGGGTTACAAAAGCTCTTTAACGACCAGAAAATGAGGTTATCAGCTTGCCGGCGAGACTGTCAGACATCTTCAGTGGCTGCTGCTTGGTGGCTCAGACCTGGAAACTAATATTGTGTTGACATGCTCCTCCTCTCTCAACATTTCCTCCCACCTTTCATTTATTTTGTGTAAACGTCACGCTTTCTGTCATGTGGTGTTACCAATGGTTATTTATTGAATATGTTTTGGACACTTGTGACAATTGATAGTACCTGGAAAAAAGTCATGGTTCAAACTCTTCATATTTCCATCTCTAGCTGGAGGAAGAAAAGATTAAAAAAAAGGAAGTGTTACTTTTTTCAAGCTGCTTTTCTATTCTGTGTGTATGTAGTAGAATCTTTGTAGCTTCATGAGTTTTATCCCCTCACCCCAAGAAAAGACACAATATTATATCTCAGAGCTGCTACTTCATTTCGACCGAGATCTCTTCTGAGAACTAGCATGTTGCGTGGAATGCTAAGCTAAATGTTTTGTACAAGGGACATACAATGCTGGGACAAAGGATCTGCCCCCCACAGATTACACCTAAATGTTCACAATGATTGTTGGCCTGCTTCATGCTGTTTGACAGGTACTATTTTGTGATTCCTTGTCCGGTAGTTATTATGCCGGGAAATGGCTCATGAGAGGAATTCAGATTTCCAAAACACCATTTTATATTTACTCAGGATATCTTTGATATCAGTGTTTGATTAAATAAATATTTAAAAGAGACAAAGAAAGTGAGAACATGAGAAATCTGTGTGGGGACAAATACCTTTTCACAGCACTGTACATATATGTATTTGCACTGTCATGGAATTTATTTCGGCATGCTTCTTTTCAACATTGTTGGAGCCATAATTCATCAGCAATTTTGTATGTTGTATCATGTTTTTGTTTTTTTATAAATATTGTTTTGAAATGACGCAGCTGTAAAACATGAACACATCAAAATCTTTTTTTCCTAATCTTCATTATAAGAATAGCACCCGAAATGTTTTTATTTAAATAGCTACACGCTGTGCATGTACATTACTGAAAATTTGTTAAATATTTGTTTTTTAGAAAAAAAAAAAGCAAAACAACCAAAAAAAATAACAAAATACAAAAAAAGTACTCTAACAAAGTGATTTTCCAAATGCAGAGGTGTAGACTTCGATTGACAGCTTTAACATTGCAGAGCACCAGGTCACACACACGTACACACAGTATTACTACACAAGTACAATATGAAACACCAAAACAGCCAAAGACTGACACCAAGGACCAAAACCCTGATGTAAACATGTTTTAAGAGGTTTGTTCACTTTGACATTTGGTCACTTTTCCCCAGGTTTCATTCATATTCCCTAGACCAAAACTTGTTTCTGTGTCACAAACTTAATTTATTTCAGGCCATTTATGGATCTCACCTCTACTGATTATGACAGAGAAAAGAGTGGAAATACAAGAAAATAAAACTGCAGTATTACATTTTATCCGGAGCAATAATAAAGCCAGTGATATGGTAAACATTTAGTTGAAGAACAGAGAGGCTTTTTGGTTTGTTTATTTCTCTTTTTACAGATTCTAAATGTCAGTTTTAGTAGGAGATGCACTGATGAAAAATTTTCCCTTGTCCCATTCCTCCAGTCTTTGTCAAGTGTTGCTGTACCAACACAAAATATATTTTTGCTTTCCCACTTTAACCATCTATTCATAGCAGGACGTAGAGACATAACCCACTATCTGTTTTAGAGTAATGGTAAAACAAGATGCAGCTTTAAGCTGTATTTAGCAACTTAAATTAGCGATTAGCATGGTTAGGAATTAATCCAAACTATCATTTCCAAAAGTCTTTCCAAATCCAGTATGTTCCATTGTAGGATTAAATGAAAGCTGAATATTCTGTTGAACCTTCCTGTTAGTTGTTGAATATCTTACTCTCTGCCTTTATCTGGAAGCCTGGATGAACGGCAGAGATGTCTTGAACAGATTTAGAAAACATACCTTCTGTTTAAATACCTGTGCTTCGCAGATTTTACTGTTATCCTCACTGTCTTTTTTTTTTTTTTTTTTGACTTCACCGTGGAGGAAATTTTTCCAGTCCAATATGGTAGTTCTTCGATCCAGTGCATTGAGTTATATAGAAAGAAATTAGATTTTTTACATTTGCCAGTCGAGGCCGATCAAGTTGAATGTCAGACGATCCCCCAGTGCATCTCTTATTTTGGTTTTCATGTCAGCTTTACGTCGTTTATAATTCTCTCGGTGTGAACTTGAAACTTGGCTTTTGGACCAATATACAGTAATTAGCTTTTTTTCCAAGCAGTTTTTAATAAATATAGGATTCATAGACAGATGCTTTGTTATTAATCTACAACATTAATAACAAAAACCTGTCATCTGCAGTTAGAGAGCACTTCCCCTGACATACCTAAAGGCTCCTCACCCCAAACACCTCGGTGCTATACAGAAGCGTGTAACGAACATAAATTCTGACCTCAAGAAACAAGTGGAAGTGTTTGGGGCAATCTGCTCCATCTAGGCTTCCTTGTTTCTTTCCTCAAATCAAATTTAAATATCACACCTGCACTCTTGGATTTGAAGGGTCCTAATAACTTTGTCCATCGCCTGACTCCTGACTTCTCTGTAGTTCTAACAAGAAAGACAAGCTGTTGGAACCCAACTGTATGTGAAATAATATAACAGATGACAAATGTGTACATTTCTCTATCAGGGAGAAATCTGTGTTTAAAAAAGAAGAAAAAAATCTCAGTCAACAATTCTTGAAGAATTTCTATTTTACCTTTATTCCCTTCTCTAGCTGTGCTTTGCTACAAATGTCTAGGTGGCAAACAAGTTTGTCTCACTCTACCTCTTGGAGCATGATAAGAGCATCAGTTGTGGCGCTGATACTGGTCTAGTCTAAACCAAATGGGCACAAGAGAACAGGAAAAATGAAACCCAAAGTCAAAGCTCATACAGCTGCAAAACCATATCACTACTTGGTAACAATGCAGACCTCATAAATAAAAGAAAAATAAGTAGAAAAAAAATCTTTGTTATGTTCTTGTAAGCCTTTGAGTACACCAAGAGTTTGAAACGTTTAAAGAAATCTAAAAGTGTGTGCAAATTTTAAAGAAAAGTGTTGTTTCTTTTGTTAATAATACAAATTAAGATCAGAAATGAGAAATGTCTTGATTTTTTTTCTCTCCCTCTTTTCTCCTTCTGTCTGTTGTGAAGACATGCAAATTTGCTTGTTGGACTGTCAGCTAGGGAATCCATACAAAAAGGCAAATCTTTTAAGGAATTAATCAAAATTAACATTATAAAATTTAGATCATTAATTCAGATTTGACTATTATTTAAATTTGGAAACAGGAAAGATGCAGGGGCTTATAGCAAACTGCTTAGCATAAACCAGAGACAATGAGTCAAACTTAAGGAGGGGGGAAGGAGTTCTGGTCTTATGGTAAAATGTAAAAAAGAAAAAAAAATCAAATAATTTCAAGTTGTTGTGCAATACTTTATTGAGATATAAAAACCACAGGTTAGTGGTAGGCTGACACAGAGTGGTCTTTACATCACTTAGAGTCAGTGTCTTCTAGAGAGCTTTCCAGTCTACTATGTCAGAATTGTGGTTTCTTGTTGATTTATTTCTTTTGTGTTTTGTTTTCTTTAACTATTATGTTAATTTTTTTGTTATTCTTTTTGGGGGGCTGTAAATTATGGTCTGTCAGTCTGTGAAACTTTGCAGTATAATTCTGGTATTGTTGTTCTATTTACAGTGAAATAAATATGTTAATTCTTGCCCATTGACATGAGTCTTCTTTGTATTATTTGATTAACTAGTTTACTTTGATGACAGTAACACTATTGATAGGATTAGAAAGGTTGATTTTGTAATGTCAAATTATGTGTTATTTCTAGCCCTTTTATTTTTTCTTATTGTGAGTCATACACATTTTAAATGTAGCATTTATATATTGTAAGGGTATTTTCATTGACTGAGGGCTTATTCAGAAACAGCCCTTTACTTGCTAATGTTTAGCTATAGGATGTCGCAAAAGGGTTAAAAATCTGAAAGTGAATTATGTAAAAAGAGCAACTACCTAATAATGAGGGCATATACTGTACAGTACATTGCCCCATGGTTAAGGTCTGCATGCGTACTATAAATGCATTGAGCCTCAGTATGTATTAAAAGTACAGAGAAATGAGGTCTGCCAACTGAGACCACATATGTAAACGAAAAGTCATGAAAAATTAAAATGCTGCGATCACAGATATAAAAAAAAATATAAAAACCAGCTGCAAATATTTCAATGATGCTAAGAAATTAAAGACATGCAAGGGAAAATGCTCCAAGTAGTAAAATTGACTGCAGGTTAAGATAGTTGCAAATAGTGGTAGTGTTCCAGACCACTAGGCCGAGATTAATTCATATGAGACCAGAACATTGACATTCCTACAAATTAAAGCAAGAGTCTGTAATAATTTCTGACCAAAATATTAACTCAGGTTGAGATATATTAAATAATTTGATCAGGTCAATATACAGCCCTTAACGATGCTCACTGCTGGTTGGCCTTGAAAACTTTCCATTGACTGAACGCTCTGAGTCACGTGACTCAGAGCGTTGTTTTACAGCAGTCTGAGCTCCCTTAATCACAAACGCTAACTAATCTAAAAGTTGTTGTTAGGAAACAAAACAATATGGCACTTACCTGATCAGACGCCAGAGGATGTTTCAGAAAAGAAAGACAAAACCCTTCGAATCGTTTTCAGTTAGTCAGTTTCTCTGAGCATCCAATTTGTTTCTAACAAAGGGTCTGGTCTCATATAAGTTGGTGATCGTGTTCCTCTGGTGGGCTGGATAACTTACAGTTACAGTAAGATTGTTTGCAGCTTTTATTAACTTGCAGTTATCTTTTATTACTTGGAGCAATTTCCTTTTGGATATGTTTTGTGTATTATTATCATATGTTCATTTGCAGAAGGCTTTGTTGCATTTTTCTTTAGCAGTGTTTTTAGTTAGTCTCATTATTGTGATTCTCTTTTTCATTTTCTCTAGTTATCTTTTTTTCTGTTTGCGGTAGTTTTTTGTCTTTGTTCATGTATTTGCAGTTTGTTTGTACCTCTCAAAATTTGAAGCTTTTATTTTTATTTTCATTAACCATAATCTATCATTGTTTGCATCAACAATTCTCTTATTGTTTCAGTTGAATTACTGACCTATATTTCTTACATTTTTTATTTTAATTTTAATTTATGACGATGCAACTGTATTAAAGTGTAAAACAAAGGTGAGGTGAGGTTATTTTATTAGCTGTTATTAGATATATTTATGCTTATAATGCATTCCAAGAATTAATTTAAGGAATTACATTTGAAATGAACCAGTGACCAGAACAATTAACCCTTCTACCTTCTTTTGCCTGACAAGATTGTAATGGAGCTGAAAGAGCTGGAATCAGCAGCTCCCTTTTCAGAAAGAGCAACAGCGAGGCCACAAAGCAGCTCATCGGCTCTGGAATTGCAGCCCCTGATGTGACCTCCTTCCCCTAATACTTATCATTGTGTTGAGCCACTTTGGAGCTGATAAAGCTCGGGGATGAGTTGGACTGCTGTAATATTGCTGCCACATTCTTCTACATAAAGTTCATTGTGACCAAGGCTCTTCTTCTTCTCAGCCTCATCTTCTTTTTGCTCTACCTTTCTTTCCCTCTCTCTTTTTCTTATCAAGCCAGGCAGAAGAAGACACAGACTTGAATTAAGCGCTAGTTTGAAGAGAGGGTGGGCGAGCTGTATGAAGCTGATAACAATACAAAATGGATTTTCTCAAACAGAGAAAAACAGCTGTCTCCATTATTTGAATGCTTCACCTTTCCCCGCTCCATTAATTGGCTCTTTGATCACAGGCAGAGGTGCACAGCGGCTGATAAGGAGCAGGTTATTAGTAAAGTAGCCTGGAGGACCCAGAGGCGGCTGTCCATGGCAGGCTGCGGGAGATGAGATAAAGGCGTGGTAATGGCGATGTGAGTGGGTGCTGTTGAGTGATAGGGGCTGTGCCGCCTGGCCCTCACGTCACCACCGCCTGGCTCACACCATTCAGAGGAAACGGCTGCAGCAGCAGAATGGAGTGCGATACAGTGGCTAATTCAGGATTGTGACTCATCTTGTAAGGAATAGA